AGGGATGCAAGGTTGGTTCAACATATGGAAATCAATACATGTAATTCATCATGTCAATAGACTTAAACATAAGAATCAGATGATCATCTCAATAGATGCACAAAAAAAAAAAAAAACATTAGACAAAATACAGCACCCCTTCCTGTTGAAAACACTAGAAAAACTAGGGATGATAACAGGAACATATATCAACATTATAAAAATTATCTATGCTAAGCCTCAGGCCAACATCATTCTAAATGGAGAAAAACTGAAAGCATTCCCTCTGAAAACTAGAACAAAACAGGGATGCCCTCTTTCACCACTTCTATTTAACATAGTTCTTGAAACAGTGACCAGAGCAATTAGACAGATGAAAGAAAGTAAAGTGATATGGATAGGAATAGAAGAACTCAAATTAGCACTATTTGCTGACAATATAATTCTATACATAGAAGATGCAAAAAATTCCACCAGAAAACTTCTAGAATGAATAAGTGAATTCAGCAAAGTACCAGAATACAAAATCAACACCCATAAATCAAAGGCATTTCTGTATATCAGTGACAAATCCTCTGAAAGGGAAACAAGGAAAACTATTTCATTTACAATAGCCTCAAAAAAGAATAAAATACTTGGGAATCAACTTAACAAAAGAAGTGAAACACCTGTACAATGAAAACTACAGAATGCTAAAGAAAGAAATTAAAGAAGACCTTACTTGTTCTTGGATAGGCAGAATTAAGATTGTCAAAATGACCATACTACCAAAAGCACTGTACAGATTGAATACCATCGCAATCAAAATAGAAATAGAAAATAGAAATAGAAAAAACCATCATGAATTTCATCTGGAAAAATAAGAGACCCAGAAGGGCCAAAGCAATTCTTAGCAAGAAGAGAGAAGTAGGAGACATCACTATACTAGACCTTGAACTATATTCAGAGCTACAGTAACAAAAACAGCATTGTATTGGCAATGGTACAGAATTGAGGACACAGGGACAAACTCACATAATAACAGTTATCTTATAGTAGATAAAGGTGCCAAAAACATATATTGGAGAAAAGATAGCCTGTTCAACAAATGGTGCTGGAAAAACTGGAAATCCACATGCAGCAAAGTAAAATTAATCTCCTATCTCTTACCATGCACAAAAATCAACTCAAAATGGGTCAAGAATCTAGAAATTAAACCAGAGACCCTACGCCTAATAGAAAAAAAAATGTAGGTGCAAATCTTCATCATGTTGGATTAGGCCCTGACTACCTTAACAAGACTCCTATAGCACAAGAAATAAAATCAAGAATCAACAAATGAGATGGTTTCAAACTCAAAAGCTTCCTCTCAGCAAAAGAAACAATCGGTGAGGTGAATAGAATGCCTATAGAATGGGATCAAATTTTTACCACACTCACATCAGATAGAGCACTAATCTCTAGAATATATAAATAACTCAAAAATCTTAACACCAAGAAAACAAATAACCCAAACAATAAATGGGCCAAGGAACTGAACAAACACTTCTCAGAAGATGATATACAATCAATTAACAAATATATGAAAAAAAAATGTTCAACATCTTTAGCAATTAGAGAAATGCAAATCAAAACTACTCTAAGATTTCATCTTACTCTAGTCAGAATGGCAGCTATTAAGAATACAAACAACAATAAGTGTTGGCGAGGATGTGGGGAAAAGGGCACACTCTTACATTGCTGGTGGGACTGCAAATCGGTGCAACCAATATGGAAAGCAATATGGAGATTCCTTGGAAAACTTGGAATGGAACTAGCTTTTGACCTAGCTAACCAAAGGATTTAAAAATAGCATACTTCAGGGACACAGCCACATCAATGTTTATAGCAGAAAAATTCACAATAGCTAAATTGTGGAACCAACCCAGATGCCCTTCAGTAGATGAAAGGATAAAGAAACTGTGGTATACAAATACACAATGGAATATTACTCAGCATTACAAGAGAATAAAATCATGGCATCTGCAGATAAATGAACAGTGTTGGAGAATATTATGCTAAGTGAAGTAAATCAATCCCAAAAAGCCAAAGGACAAATATTTTCTCTGACATGTGGATGCTGATATATAATGGGGGTTGGGGGGAGCATGGGAGGAATAGAGGAACTTTAGACAGGGCAAAGGGAAGAGAGGGGAGGAAAGGGGGCATGGAGATAGGAAGGATGGTGGAATGAGATGGATATCATTACCCTAAGTACATGTATGAAGAAATAAATGTGACTGCATTTTGTGTACAATCAGATACATGAAAAATTGCGTTCCATATGTGTACTATGAGTTGAAATGCTTTCTGCTGTCATTTATAACAAATTAGAATAAATAAAATTCTTTAAAAAAGGTAATTGATATCAATACCTATTATTACTTTCCTTGAATATTTTATCAATAATACCATGTATAGGTCTGAATCTGTAGCACTGGGGCAGGGGAAGAGGGCTTGCCTGGCTTGTATGAGGTACTGGGTTTGATCCTTAGCACTGAATAAAAATTAAAAAACAAACAAAAAAAGAATATATTATAGCCAGGCCAAGGGTGCACACCTATAATCCCAACAGCTCAGAAGGCTGAGGCAGGAGGATCCCAAGTTCAAAGCCAGCCACAGCAAAAGTGAGGCACTAAGCAACTCGGTGAGATCCTGTCTCTAAATAAAATACAAAATAGGGCTGAGCATGTGGCTCAGTGATTGAGTGCCCCTGAGTTCAAATCTTAGTACCACCTACCCCCCCAAAAACAAATATATTATAGATAAAACATAGGCCCCTGACCTCCTCCTTTGCGGTTCCATTTGTCTCCCACGTCCCTCATAAGCACCATTCTCATCTAGATGTTTCTGTTAGGCATGTTTTAATGCTCTTTCATATTAATATATTGCTTTACTCTGAGGAATATACTCAATATATCTGAATTGTATGCAAAAAGAAGTGGTTAAATGGTAAAATTTATATATATATTTTAACAATAAAAGCAGGGAAAAAATACCAACTTAAATGGATTCTATGTTATGCTTTTTATGAAAACTTTCACATTCAACCTTCTCAGGCTGAAGTATTCTTTCTTTAGTACACTTCGTGTACTTGCTACAGATGACCTCACCGACAATCCTTTATGGTCATAGGTGTACGTGTCTTTAACTCTTGAATGAGGAGTCACGGGTCCCCCAAAATCCAAACATCTCTTTTTGATATCTTAAACTAGTGAGAAGTGTGTGTGCTCAATTTCTGTGGAAGGGAGGTTGAAACTAAGGAGAAGGTTGAAACTAAGGAAAGGAAGACTCTAAGACTAAACACAGGATTCTCAACATGGGGACAATGGAAGTCACACAGGGTGATAGTAAAAGGAGGAGGAGAAACACGTTTGACTGAGCCTGTGGATGAGTGAGGAGGAGGATGGTGACCCTGGAGATAAGCTGGAAACATAGGAAGAATCAGCAAGAAGGATGAGTCCAGCCATCCTCAAAGAGGAAGAACTGTAGGGACAATTTTAATGGCACTCGCAGAGGAAATTCAGAGAGCACAGTACATGGGTTGAGAGGATTTGGTTAAATTAAGATCTACTGAAAACTTTTTAAGTTTTGGTAAAATAGCTTCAGTGTTAGAAATAGCTCCATGAGAGTTGACCCCCAAGAGGCTCTCTTAGATATCTGTTGATGTCTTGTGATGAGAAGATCTTCAGGAACATGGTCACCACCAGAAGCTACAGTATTTATCAAGGGCTTGTTTTATCTCATTGATTCGGGAACAACACTGTGCATTCTATAATAAAATTTCCCTCAAATTATGAATGAAGACAGCCAGGCTTAGTGTGCTTAAGTGGCGTTCCCAGCCCCCACCTTCCCCTGCCACTTTGCCCCTAATGCCAGCCGACTTGCTAGAACCAGCCACCATGCCAGGACATTTTAGAATAACATGCTAGAACCACCTGGTCCCCAGGGTCATCAGAACAGCTCTCTGTCTAACACTACTGACTGACACGGCCTTCCCAGTGACTCACTACCCCCTGCCACTCACTCCAGACCCAGAAGTTCCCCCCAAACCATTCTGCCACTTGAGAGTCACAGGGGTCCTGTCTCCTCTGACACTGCAGATAGGAGTTAATGATAAAACATGTTAAAATGCATGAAATAATAGACAAACTAGGGGGAGAAATACAGTAAGAAGGGGCCTAGGGAGAGAGAAATGAAGGCCTTCTCTTTAGGAGGCAGGATACTCCCTGTGGTATCCTCAGGGTCAATGTCAGTCTTCTGGTCAACATACCTACTTTCAACCTGGGCCCAGATGTTATGACGGAAGAGGAGGAAGACATGGAAAACACAAAACCATGCTAACTCTACAACACGGGCTGCGGAATCAATTAAAATTCTGGGTGCATAGGGTTCTTAACTAGAGGGATTCTTGAGGTTGGAGCCTGTGGCCTCCAACCAAATGTCTTCTCTTTAGCACCAGCAGGATGAGACCTTCTTGGCCTTCTCATGGCACTTTCTCCCTGGCAGGGAGGACACCACTCTCTTCCTGAGCCAGTGAGAGAAGCGCCAGAAATTCATACAGGAAGTGCCTTCCTTGTCTGAAGGCAGGTCCCCCTCCTCTGACTGCTCTGATGACCCTAGGGAGCTCTTTGCTGTGCCAGGCTCCTGGCTTTCCATCTGCCAAGACAAAGAGGAGGAGTTAGAGACATTCAGGGTCAGCAGCAATGGGGCCAATATTACTCATTTATGGATTTCCAATTTACTTTTTTACCAAAATGAGCCAACTGTCAATGCAAAGTTTCAGGACTCACATTAAAGCCACACACAGGCACACACACTGGTCTGTACAGTGCTTCTCTGCTTCTCTCTCTCTCTCTCTCTCTCTCTCTCTCTCTCTCTCTCTCTCTCTCTCTCTCTCAGTGCTCCCTGGCATTTCCCCAACACCTCTTCCCTGACCCCTTTCCTGGCTGTGGACCTTCTCCCATTGCTCATCTGCCCAGACACTAGGGTCCTCCTCTGCTTCACAGCAGGTACAAGGACTCCATGCTGTCCCACCTGGCACCCGCACTGGGCCTGTCCCTTCCTCTGCAGGGGGGCAGCTCTGTGCTCACCTCAACAATTTCATCCTCCTCAAGCCCAGGAGGCATTTCTGGGCTCTGCTTGGTGTCTCCATTTTCTGCTGGTTGATACTTGGGCAAGTCCTGACAAGCCTCCTGCTCTTCAGGACTGACCTGATCCATATGGGAAGAGACACTGCTGGATGGCTGGACATTCTCCTCCTCCTGAGGAGACTCAGGGGGTACAGAGTCGTCTACATCCTCCTCCCGATGAGGATCGGAGAACAGAGAGTCGTCATCTTCCTCATCCTTGTCTAGACATACAGCAATAACTCTCAAGAAATAAATCAGTTCCAAGATGCTCTGGCATCCTGTCTCCTCTTGCCAATTGTACATACTCTCCTCATCATCTTCCTCCCATTCAGCCCATTTCATTTGTGAGTAGTCGAAGGGGCTGCACACATCGCCATTCATGGGCTCATCCACGTCTTCTTCACCAGGCCCCTCTGGCTTCTCCTGAATTTCATTTCTTCTGCCCATGGGTCCCCTTACATCATTGGTTCCCCATGCCCCTTGGACAGGAGGGAGGGAGGAAGGACGCTCAGAGGTCAAGTCTTCACAGGCTACGACAGCCTCACAGTCAGGCCTGTCCTCTGAGGGGAAAGGGACTACAGAGAGGCTCTGGTTGGATTTGGATTCCGAAATACAGTGCTCCATGTCAGGGCAGCTGCTGCCAGATGATGAGTCGTCCATAGGGACTAAGGGCACAAAAGCCCAGTCTCCCTGGACTCTGGAAATTTCAAAAGAAAAATATTAATTCATGATAGGGGGAAGTGACTCATGTACTTTTCCAAATGATGCCCATTCCTTCATCCATTCCCAGCTATCCCACTCAGGCAGAAGTGCATCCTGTATTTGCACTCTCCAGTCAAGGGCCCAAGAGCAGTTCTTTCTCTTGGAAAACTCATTTTATTGAGTAATGACCCTCTGCCCTGAGCATCTCCACCTGATACCTCTCATGCTTTGTCTTATCACTACAGTTGAAAGAACTGCCTGCCATAAAAGATAGTTGTATAAATTTGAAAGCTACAGGAAAGTCAAAGATGTAAAGAAATACCCATATCCCACCATCCAAGGGGAATGACAATCCTCAGGGAAAGAGTTTGGTGCATTCCTTTATAGTCTTATTTCCCTCTTATCTACATACATGTATGGATTGTACTCGTGTGCACATATGTGGATGTCACATCAAAGAAACTGAGATTATTAAATTTTGTGGTACACCCTACAGGAAACAAATATATGGCTATTCTGTGATCCTTCAGCACTTTCTCATTAACTCTCTTTGGTGATCACCTGTTAACAATCATCAACATAGGTGATCAATGAACCTTAGATAATTAAGACCATTAACAATGGTCTTATTAATGATATTAAACCCCCTTATCCACACATTTTTGTCTTCCTTTACATAGTCCTATAGGTAGGATCATTGACTCAAATATTACAAATATTATAAAATTATGATAATTGATATTAAATTAATTTCTAGAAAGAATACATCTAATTAAATGCCCATCCTGACATCATCTGATGGTATCTTTAGTCCAGCATTTCCCGTGATGCTTCAGCAAGTCATTGGGGAAGAGAAAACAAACATTGGCTTTCCCTTGAGATATCTCTCTCTCTCTCTCTCTCTCTCTCTCTCTCTCTCTATCTATCTATCTATCTATCTCTCTGTCTATCTCTATTTCTATCTTCTGTTCTCGCACACACACATTCATGTACCTGTAGACTCTGTCAAAACTGGCTCTAGTGACTTCTTGCGAAAAACAGATGCTGCCAACTCCTGAGGCAGACCCAGGCTACCTGAAGTCCTTCAGGTACTGAATCCAGTAACTGAGAAGTTCAAATGTCAGAATCCTTTGTTCTGAGAACCTTGGCTGCCATGGCAACAGAGGAACACAGGAGAGTCACAAGTGTGAAAGAAAAAATGGGGATAAAATACCAGAGGACACATCCCCTTGCTTTAGTCATTTGTTTCTTTCATTGTGACCAAAGTATATGACAAGAACAATTGACAGCCAGGAAAGTATTTTGTAACCTCACATTAGATCACTGGCTCCCTTGCTCTGGGTCCTTAGTGCACCAGCCCATCATGGGGGGAGGGCCCAGTGGAGGAAATGTATCAACAGATGGGGGTCAGAAAACTGAGACAGGAAAGGGCCACAGGAAGAACACCTCCAGGACCAACTCACTATGGCTCACCTCCTCCAAGCATGTCCTACCACCTACCATTTCTAACCACAAAGTTCATTCAAACTAGGATAAATTCATTAGGTTTCAGTTGTCACTAACTGCTCATCTGGGGTCTCCATCACAGCTTCACTTTACCTACAACTTCAAGCATTGGTCTCTCAGGGGCACCTACAGGGACTTTGATCCAGCAACATTTTGCCTGGCTTCCAGATCTTTCTTTGAAATCTTGGTGGAAATTTCATGGCCCCTTATGTATTTGTCAAAAAAAAAAAAAGAGAGAGACCTGGGTTTAAGAACACCTGAGGAAAATACACATGTGTGGCACACACACACACACACACATACACACACTTTACGGAATAGTAATCAAAGCTAAGAAATAGCTATTGGACCTAAAAGAACGTCAACTCATTGGGCTCTGTCAACTTCATAAGAGCTTTCCCAAATATTTGTCTCTATTTCCATTCAATAAGATAGTATTTACAGTGTGCATAACTGTTCCATTTTTTACTATTGACTGGACTTAAATATCTAGTTTCTCTTCTCAAAGTTTGTAGAAGTTCTCTCTTCCAGAGTTTTGATGGCATGATGCAATGAATAGGCAGAGCTGGGGTTGGCAAGAAACACCTACTATTCAATAGATGCAGCCTGGCAAATGCCCTAGGCTGCCCCAGCTGCCATGAGTGACCATGGCCTCCCTGAGTATATGCAGGGTCTTGTGCTCATGACCACATGCCCCCTTTCTGGGTGTTAGCTCCTTTTAGGCTCAAAGAAGCCTATGAGCTAAGTCTCATTGGTTGCCTGCTTCACAGAAGAACATGAAACATGCGCAGTCAGGTAACTGGCTCACATTCCCAAGTCATAACCCCAGGCACCTGGATTCAGAGGCAATCTGCCTTCAGAGCCCCCACCCCTTAATCTCCACTCACCCTCATCTCTAGGGACCTGAGCACCCACTTCCTCCTGGAAGACTGTGGGAGAACTGACTCAGTCCACAGGCCAACCCATAGGCTGTTCCTCTGTAGAAACTCCCCTGTGCAGAACGTGATGCTCCATGGGACAAGCAATAGGAATAGGCGTTCCATAGAGCTGGCCCTGAACAATGGGGTCCACATGTGGAGCAGGGGGGAAGGGAAGTTGTGAAATAAGTATTAAGCTTCCTCTTTGACATAAGGAGATCTGAAATGCTCTGCTTTGGCTTTTGATGAAAACTTTAAGCCTGCCTTCCAGAGCACTGTGTCCTTGAAGAGAATTCACCTCGACCTCTCCTTCTGTGCAGGGGAAGTGAAGCTGTACATTGTACTGTCACCCATGAAATGGAGCTTTTTGACCAGAATATAGACCCTTGAGAAGGAAAGAACGATTTCCACCCTAGACCACTGAAGTACAGAGTGATCCTGAAGCCAAGGGACCTTCAAAAGGAGACAACCAAGGGAAGGGAGAGGAGAGGGGAACAGGAAAGGAGGTAGAATGAGTCAGACATAAGGTTTTATGTTCATATAGGAATACACCCCAGTGAAGCTCACATCATGTACAACCACATGAATGAGACCCTAAGTTATCCTCCATGTATGGATAATATGTCAAAATACACTCTCCTCTCATGTACACCTAAAAAAGCAAATTAAAAAAAAAAACAATCCTTTTAATAACTGTTACCTGGGCAGCTGGACACCCACATGCCAAACGATGAAGGTGAAGTGCTTCACACACGTGAGCAAGATTGAACTCTTTGACCCACAGACCCAAATAAGGACAGCCCCAGGACACTCGGAAGGAAACATCAGAGTAAATCTTTGCAATCTCAAATTGCAAATCCCTCCTATGCCTGTTCCCTAGAGAATTGAAGAGTTATGTCTCCACAGAAACCTGGACATGAATGTTAAATGAAGTGTTACTCATAAATGCCCCAAAGTGGAATCAACCCAAATGTCCATCAGTGGATGAAAGGGTGAACAATATATAGGAGATCTACACAATAAAACATTACTCAATCATGAAAAGGAATGGAGTACTGATTCATGACACAACCTCTGTGAACCTGGAAAACAGGATCTCAGTGAAAGAAGCCAGTCACAAGAGATCACATATCTGCTTCCTGTAATAGGAAACATTCAGAATATGCAAATGTAGAGAGAAAGAAAGAGGATGAGGAGCTTCTGGGGAAATGCAGATCCCCTCTAATGTGTCCAAAGGTTCTTTCTAGGGTGATGAAAATGTTCTAGAGTTACACCGGGGTGATGGTTTCACAACCATGTGAATATATAAGAAACCACTTAGCTGTACAGTACAGACCTTGGTATGTGAAGTGCATGTAAGTAACGCTACTTAAGAGGGAAAAATAAAACCCAGCTCTTGGAAATAAAAAAACAACACAGCGAGAATCTAAAAAAAAAAAAAAAAAAAATTGCACTTTTGTTTACTTTTATCATTTCTCTGAAATGCATTTTTGTGTTGCTCTGTGCTGACAAAAGAGAACACGCACACACACTTTTGTCCCCATTTGAAATGTGCAACTCAGCTAGTGAATATCCCAGACACTCACACCCTTTCCTACCCCAGAAAAAAACAATGCTGATTCTTTGTAGTTTAATATGTTTCTTAATTTATTTACATTGTTTTTCTAAAGCATCAGAGAAATAGCAATGACACACATCCCCCTTCTTGGCCATGCTGAGGAGTGCAGTCACTTCCAAATGAAAACTGACCTTTTACCTCTCCTAACAGATTAGGGGACTTGGGGTCCTTCTTCACAATACCTTCAGTGTTCCTTATTTTCTAGGGCCTTAATCAGACTTGCTGGCCTAGCTCTTTTAGATGACAGTTTCTTTTTCTAAAATGGCATCAACTGCCTTCTCATGAAGCAAGATTATAACAAATCTTCTTCAGGTATCAAAAATGATAATATGTTGTGGATCTATGCTTCAGATGTAAAGTCAGTAATGAGAGTGACATTAAGAGATGGGACACTTTGGGAAATCCATTTGACTCAATGTGTCTTGGAACCTGAATACCTACAGGAAGTTTCTCATTTATTAGTTAAGCTAATATAATGGTTGATTTAATGTGTCAACTCGATGGACTATCAGGTTTCCAGATATTTTTTGGTTAAGCATCATCCTGGGTGTGTCAGTGAGGATGTTTCTGGATGGGATTAATATTTGTTCCACTAAGCCAGGTAGGGTGGTACAAGCCTGGAATCCCAGTGGATTGGGAGGCTGAGGCAGGAGGATTGTGATTTCAAAGCCAGCCTTGGCATCTTAGCAAGGCCCTAAGCTTCTCAGTGAGACTATCTCTAAATAAAACAGGAAAAAGGCTGGAGGTGTTGCTCATAGTGTAGTGCCTCTGGGTTCAATACCCAGTACCTGAACAAACAAACAAACAAAGAAGTTTGTCCCAGTCGACCCAGTAAAGCAGTTCGGCTGCCCCAGTGTGTGGGCCTCTTCCAAATCCATTCGAGGTCTGCATAAAACAAAAGACTGCTCTGCCCAACT